CATTGTTTTAATTACTTAATTAAGATGACTAACCTTATATATAACATTACAAAAAAACAATTCTCAACTTATATAAGGTATAGGAGGTTTGCTATTAAAATTCAAGTTCAGATCATATTATTTACTATGCCTCGTAACCTGATTTTAATAGCAACGACCATATATTCGGCAATTCTCTTGATTTTTGGGAGTAAAACTATCGTAAAAATATTTTTCCCCTAACAATGATGATGACCATTAACGATTTAGGATTTAGATCAAGTGAAGAGAATACAAATTTCCCTTGTTATAAATAATTAAATTTAAGTGGGAAGGTTATAACATAAAACTTCACCTAAATAAACTTTTAATCACACCAACTTTTTTATGTACTTTAAAATATTTTATTTCATGAAATAATACCCAATTTAAAGCTTTTTTTTGTAAGAAAATAATATCACTATGGTAATTCTAAATTAACATTTCTTGTAAAATATGTATTATAAAACAAATATTTATGAAAAAGAAACAAGTACGTATAAATGACATAAGATGTGTTATACATTCCTAACTTTTTTTCATAACTGCAAATATTTCCTGCTGAATATAAAATAAATCAATAACTACATCGTTTGCAAGGGGGAATGGCGAGAGTGGTGGATTTTGACGATCACAACCCTTATAAATGCAATCTGGTGAAATACTCAACGTGCGCCTTCCCAGAGCAGAACATCCATTAAATGGTTGATTTTTTGAATCAATTGTTCCGAATTCAATCTGTAAGTTAAAGATATATTGCGAATCAAATAAAATGGAATCAACTCAACACAAAAAATACACTAGTTCTTACCGCATGAACTGGTTGAAAATTCCCACGTGCATCCCTAGGGCTTGTTCGACGACAGAATCTATAACACTATCAAAAGTACAAGACAAATATTAGGGAAATGAAATAAATATAAATCAAACACCAAGTATACTGAACTGTAAGCCTGCGTAAGGGTGATTTATTTTGATCACTTATTGAGTTCCAAGGCCACAATTTTAATACAATAACGTCTTCTACCCGATGTGGGGCCAACCAAAATTGGGTGGTTTTTTGGATAATACTTTGAAGACTTTGGGTATTGGCAGTCTCACAAATAATAGTTGGCCAGGGATTGCCCTACAATCAATATGATTCGATCAATATTATTTGTATTTCACTAAAGTTCAAATTCAGGAAGAAATACCTCTGGATCACTTGGATATTGAGCCGGATTAGGCAGACCTTTTGGTACAAAAGAAACATCCGACTGTTTCTTACTTCCTTTGCGTCCTTTGCGTCCTGAAGCATAACAAGCTGAATACAAAAGAGTTGGTTCAATATAATAGTATAAAAGCACAACACAAATACTGAGAGAATACACACTTGTTGTTCCAATATTTCTAACTCGATCTTGACGAGGAAGATTATAAAAAGCTTCTTTAAATTGATCAGCGAATTCTCCATGTGCAACCTCATGATCCCTCATTGGTAGCTCGATTATTATTACTGTCCCATCTCGATACTCCCAGAACTTCGATGCGTTCGCTCTCTCACATTTTTTTTCAAACTCATCATAACTTACATCTTCCATAAGGATCAGGGGGAGTCTAAAAAATAGACCAAACTTTTATAATGGAATGTATAAACAAAATTTAAGTAATGTTGAGCCTTACTTTTTTCCGTCAATAGTTTTGTAATTTCCGTCGATCCACCATTTTTTCTCTTTTTCGTTAGCCTTGTTAATAATAGGATCTTCAACATTAGCTTCGATGATTTCGATACATTCTATAAGCGCCAACTCATCTGACAAACATGCATCTGACAAGGTAGTTGTGGAACTTCGACGAGAACTTAAAGAGGAAGAAGAAGTAGTTTCGTATTCTGTAGCGAACATGTTTAAAAGTTTAAGTAAAGATTTTGCTGATCAAATGGATACAACATTATATATATAAGCCTAAACAAAGTTATATAAACGCGAAATATTTTTATCATGTGATTTCATTTTCTTTTAAGCAAACAATAGCAAACTTTTAATAATATCAATATGCGACGCATAAAATTAATCATTATAACAATGACGAAATTCATAGATCGTTATGCATTTGATATAATGGAAGAATATTTTTGAATTAAATTTACAACAAGTATACAAAGGAAAAGACACTTAAGTCATATCGTTTTAATTTATTTGACTACTCTATTATAAGTGTTTTTTTTTCAAAAATATTTTCGCGGAAATATGAATTTTTTAGATCTCCTTCATCTCTCGTATTTTTGTCCTTTACTATTATTAATAAATTTATTTTTTAACTTCGATAATGTAATACAGAAAGGTAACCAGAAAAGATTCTTCTTTAAGGTCTTATCTTTCTCAAATGTAGAAGCAAAATTTAGTCAACTGTTGCCTCACTATTTTTGTTGTTGCATGATGAGGCTATTTTAATTGAAGAACAAAAAATCTCGTAGTTACTGAGACTTGCCCTAAACACCTCGGTATTGTTTAATTTGATAATCATCTTGATCTTTATCGTTGTAAATTTGGCACATGATGAATGCTATATTATTCACAATCGATTTAATTATTCATCCAGTTGCAATAGAGTTAATGAAGGAGTAGACTCAAGACCGCAATTTAAGTCCAATAAGCAAAATTCAACCATCAGAATATGGTCTTAAAATTGCGTTTGGAGAATGTTGAAATGAAAATGAACAACAAAGTGGCTGGGAAAGGTATTCTCACTTCATGAATTATATTATTATTGATGGACAATGGACCATTATTACGCGATATGTTTGTTTAAAAAGAGAGTGTCAAAATTTTGGTTTCTAACAAAATGTATGGGATGGCTTTCTATGAATTAATTATTTTGATAATTTTCTGATTTCATAAACTGAATTGTTAATAATATATAAATAAATTTCAAACATATGGTGGTGAGCTATTAAAATTGAGGTACGTATCATATGATTTATTATGTCTCGTACCTCAATTTTAATAGCATACCACCCATATGATTATTACTTTGCAATTTTAATTATAAATTGGGCAATGTATACTAATAAAATTAACATTACTAATATTATTGTTTAAAGAAGCTGTCATTTCAATCATCCATATAACGAATTTAATTTGAACTGATTAGAAACAATCAGTAAATAAAAAAAAAATATTTATAAACATTTATATGAGACTATACATAGTTTTGATGATTTCCCAGTGACTAATGACAGATTCAGAGACGTTTCAATGAAAAATGATAGTTCAGACATCGTTAATCCATTTAAAATAACTACTAACTCTTGATAAAATTTCGATGTTCCGATCTAAAAAAAATACAAATATCTTCTATTAATCTGACTTGTCAGTAGCATACCAATAAAAAAGATAGCGCCACCTACAGCAAGTTTTCCTTCAACTTATTTATATGATTTAATTAATGTAACTATCGCAGAAAAATTTCTTTTAGATTTCGTAATTATCGTTGTCGTTAACGTTATCGTCAAAAACATTTTTGTATAAATGAATAAAATATACACAGTAAAACAGCGCGAACAGTTATTAAAATTCTTTCCATTTTTATTAAACTATTTTTTGGGCTTGTTTGAGTTAAAAAAAAAAATTTGCAAAATTGAATGAACTTTTTTTTTTATATATATTATCAATTATTTTAAAAAAACTTTCAAATATTTTTTTATTAAACGATTTTGTTCAATAAATAAATTTTTTTAAAAAAAAGTAGTTGCCTCGTATATCAATAAATTTTAACAAAGATAAAATTGCTACATAAGAATTCCTAAATAAATTTTTTATAAAAAAATTTAAGATGTGTCGAAACCATGTATGGGTTTGAATTTCTAACTTACTTCTAGTCCATTCGAATTCTCCCAAAGTTCTGTGTAGATCTTAAAAAATCTGACAAAGAATGGTCGATCAATTTTATATGCTCATAACTGGAGCCCTGTTACGAAACCATACTATATAAAGGTTTGTGTAATATCCTTGTGACTCGCACAACTCATTCTTTGATCAAATTTGTATTTATTGACATTAAGTCCATTTATTATTGAATTTTTTAATCCTTTCTCTCCATGGCGGCAAGTCCAATTGGAAATGTATCAGAACTGACAATTCTAATTATACAATATTTACGAAAAGATTTAGAAACACTTCATTCATGCATTTTAGTCAATCGACTTTTTTGTCGAATAACGATTCCCATACTTTGGGAAAATCCATTTTCAGTTAAATGTCGAAGAGGACATCGTTATAATTTTTTTGATATCTATTTTTCATATTTAAATGATGAAGATAAAACAAGTTTATCGGACATTGGAATTAAAATCAATCCGTCTCCATTTATAAAGCCTTTATTTAATTACCCCAGTTTTATTAATACCTTAAGTATACTTCGACTGGAATTGCACACTGATAATTTGATATATGATTTTAGTAAATCAAACTCTCATGAATTTACTTTTAATTCATTGCGAGAAGGCATTGAAGCTAGATACTCGACATTTCCAGTATTAAAGTTGCATCCAAGCGGATCAAAAAATAAATTAATTTATAGTTTATTATTCAAATTATTTATGAATAGTAATGCTTCTTTAAAAAAATTTTCTTTATTTTTCAAAAATTCTTCAGTTATTTTTTTAACGTCAGAAATTTATAATATGATGTTAAATAATGAAAATTTTATATCGAATGTTGACAAACTTGACCTATGGATAGAGAAGAGACAAACACTTCCTACAAGATTTTTAGCAACTTTACCATCATTAATACCTTCTATTAAGCATCTTAGTATTTGTGCTAATACAAATAATACAATCAACTTATTTATAAGAAACCTCATTCAATCGCAAGCACAACTATTA